CCTCCTCCTCGCTCTCTATTTATTTTAGAATCCCCTTCCCCTCCCCCATTTCCAAAGAAGGGTTCAGACCCGAAACGTCAGCTTTCCTGCTCCTCAGATGCTGCTCGGCCTGCTGTGTTCATCCAGCTCTACACCTTGTTATCTCAGATTCTCCAGCATCTGGAGTCGCCACTATCTCTGAAACATATTTGCTCACCTTTCTTACAGAATGGTCCATCATAAGCAGAGTGACTGCAGTTGCATGAATAACCATTGTACTTCTCTATACATCTCCCTCCATTGTGACACAGGTTACCATAACTGCTACAGTGTCCCAGGCATCCTGGCTTCACACCAGGTGTAATTTTGGCTCTTTCCTCAAGATCAAGGGTGACTCCATTTAACCTTAAAGAGCGAATACATCCAAGGAATCCTTTCTGCCTTGAGGCAGTTCCACCTGAAAATAAATGGAGTAACTGTAAGTAAATTAGAAGAGGGATGAAATCTAAAAGATTTGCGTCCTATTCTCTTTGTTTGTGCAAGTAGACATTGTTAACAGTCAACAAATACAAATTGCATTAGGAAGAGAAACATCTTTACAATAAATGTTTGGAAAGACAACATCCTTAGTTCATATGATGCAATGGGTTTTGCTAGCATTATTAGTTTAAAACTAATTCCAAGTAAACACATAAATTCATAAAATCACTTCTCATGCTATTAATTATGTTGTATCTAGGAAGTAATATGCACTTCTTTCAGCTTTTCATGTATTAATGTAATCAGACAGTGGCTAAATTTCATCTACAGTGTATTTTGAAAACATTTTTTGTGTGAAATGTTTATTTCATAGGTTTCTTGTCATGGATCAAATTATGCAATGGAATATTAAGTATTCATATTTGCTAATTGGGGGACTGTCAGGTTATAGAAGTCAACTGCTAAAAATATTTCTTTTAAAAAAAAAATCACTTGAGCAGGAATGTAAGACTGGAAGTAATTGTTGCCAGTAAAACAATAAAGATTAAACTTATACGTATAACATTTCTGGTCATTATTTTAATACATTTGTTAACCTATTGATTACAAATGGTTTAAGCAGATCTTAAATAGCAGCTAGCAGAGGGCCATATGAATGTCTTAAACGCCATTGAACTTCAGTACCAGTAACAAGCTAATTCTGGCCTGTAATTTTTGGGAACAACTATTTTTTGAGGGAGTAGGGTAATGTTAGGCCTTAGGAGAACATCTTCTGTGAACATAAAGATTTTCCATTGTCTTCCCAGTTGTTCTTTAAGCAAATATTCTCAGGGTTTAGAGCAGTTGGCGAGCTATGACTAGAACTCATCATTGTCCAAATGACCTAAGAAAGACCGAGGTCACAACTCTAGACAGAATGGACTTTGTTTAGGTGAGAAGAGGAAGAGTAAGACAACGCACTGACCGGACCAAACTTCAGGCCTTGGGTGTTTTAAATCTCAGGTCTCACTGAAAGTAGACTTCCCAGCAAGAACAGGTAAGTAGACGATTCAGAAGACCTCCCAGCAACTGCGGTTTAGGCTGACACCTCAGTAATTGGTCGGAATGGGTCATTGAATCAATGAATCACAGAATTGTTATGGAGCAGAGGAAGACCATTCTGCTTATCATGTCTGCACTGGTTCTCTGTGCATCATAATTAGCATCATAATCATCTTACTGTATCTTATCCATAATTCTCCACATTGTTTTGATTCAAATAATCATTTCATGCCCTCTTGGAAACCCCAGTTGAATCTGTTCCCACCACATTTCCAGGTAGTGCATTCCCTACTGGAATTACTCGCTGAATGAAAAAGATTTTTCTTACCTTTCATTAGGTCCTTTTGCAAAACATTTTAAAACTGTAACCTCTCGTTCTCGATCTTCCTATATGTTGAACAGTTTCTCCCAATCTACTGAACATAGCCCCCTCATGATTTTCAAAACTTCCATCAGACCTCCTCTTAGCCTTCTCCTCTCCAAGGAAAACAATCGCCAGTCTATCCTCACAATAAAGTTTGTCATCATTGGAATCATTTTTGTGAATCTCTTCTGTACTCTCTCCAAAGCATTCACAGCCTTTCTAAAGAGCAAAGAACTATGCACAATGTTCCAGTTGATTTTGAATTATTGACCTATATAAGTTCAGAATATCTCCTCTGCTTTGTATCCTATGCTCTTATTCATGACGCCAAGAAACTTGTGTATACTTTATTAAATGCTCTCTTTAGCTCTCTTGCTACTTTTGATGTCTTAGGCACATATGCACAAAGGTCTCTGCTCCTGTGCACCCTTTAGAGTAGTACTCTTTACTTTGTCTGGTCTTTCTGTAAGGAAGCATTTCTGTCAGGCACCACAAATTTGACTGAAATTAGCAACTTGGTCTGTACAATAGTGTACTGGCGAGACACAACACCGCCTTAAGTAACAAATCTTAACTGCATGAGTGATCACAATGGCAGTTGAGACAGAGTTGACTCAATTAATTGTAGTTCCCAAGATAAAGACACTACTGAAAAACTTAAAGAGCCAAATCACTTCTATTTTCACACAACTATATCTGTTGAAAACATTGGACCCAATAATATTTAGCAACAAAGCTTCAATTTAAATAGCATTGAAAAGTATTAGTATTAAAACACTCTACACAATTGCAGGAGTAGCAAACTGTACATTCAACAGAAGTAATAATACCTTAAGAAAAAAGCTCAATTCCCTTTTCTGTTGTGTTGATGTATGCAGGTATTTATAAAGCTTAAGCAGGTAATAAACTGAACAGCTAAAGCTCAGTGATTAATGTACTCTATTATAAATACTACTTGCAATAATCCCTTCAGGCAGCTAGTGCTTTACTAAATATATTTCAATTGTTTTCTTCTCTGAGGCATTCTACTTTCAACTCCTCCTTTTGACATGGTTTGACCTTAAATAAAGATGCATAAATGATATATATTTTTAAAGTAAGCATGTTATTATGAAAACACACTCGCGGATTAGTTTATTTTATTGGTTTGCAAATAAGCCTCTTATGCAGCTTTCCTGCATTGAGTCAGGACTGATATATTATCAGGAATACATGCCAATGATTTTTTTCCAGCAGATATCAGTTGAATAGAGAGCAAAGGAAAAAAGTATCACTTGCATTAACCTCGTCAATTCTACAGGGGCTTTTCTTCTTTCAGATGGAGTGCATTCGTGTTAAGTCCTAAGAAAATTCCCAACATTTGAAATTCCTTATCCGGAGTATCCATTTAAGAGGACCAAACATTAAAAATACCATGCTGAATAAAATAATTTATCTTAAAACATGATTTGAATAAAGGGATAATTTGGCCATCTCTGAGAACAGCCACGTTTACAATTGGAAAGCTCTTGAATGTAGATAAGCAACTGGGAGAGTAGCTTGAAGTAAAATTATGAAGAAAATTACCAGTGCAGTTATTTTAGGCATTTGCACTGTGGTCTCAAAGGCACAGAAGATTTAAACTTTACAAGCTTAAATACTGATATGCCAATACTTTGCCCTCCCCCTTGCAATGAAACCAGTGTATATCCCTTCTACAGGACTGTGGTGGCACTGCCACTAGGTTTGTAATCCAGAACCCCAAGCTAGGGAAATGAATTCAATTGGAAAAAGGGGTTTTGTGGTCCTGATGTCAAGACTGGCTTCACAGGGCAACTTAGCTGATTTTTCCAAATTTATGACTGAGACTCACTTTGTTCAAGTGCAGAGAAGATTCTTCCTGATGCAAACATTGCTAATTGTCATTAAAAACTCCAATTGTTCAGCAATGCGCTTTAAGGAAGGACATCTGCCATTCTTACCTGATCTGGCCCACATATGATTTCAGATCCACAGCAATATGGTTGACTTTTAACTGGCCTCGGGCAATTAACTGGCAATAAATGATAGCCAAGCCAGCTACAACCATATCCCTTGAATTAATCAAAAATAAAGCTAAAAGGAGCAGTTTATGTATTTACCACAGCAATAGAATACTGGGATACTTTGTTTAGAAATATACAGGTAATAGACCACTAGGGATAACATGTATATTTTCCATTTCACTGTCAAAAACATCATTCTACTTATTTTAAGTAGATCCACTAGATTCAATGGCATTTCAAGTGAGTGACATAATTTGGCACAAATTCACCAAGACATCAGTGGAGGCAAGGTACATGTTCGTTTGATCAGCACAAAATGAAAATTGTGCTTGCCCATCCCACAACTTTCTTTCATTTCACATACTGAGTTGAAGACGACTGAAAATATGATCAGGTGGGCTATATATCAGACAGTCGATCTACTAACACCCTTTAAGTGTCCACGAAGTCCAATTTTAACCTCATAGCCTCCACAACAGTACAAGGTGTTGGTCAGATCACATCTGGAGTACTGTGAGTAGTTAGTGGGGAGGTGACAGTCTAGTTGTATTGTCGCTGGCCTATTAATTCAGAGACACAGAAACATAGAAATATAGAAGACAGGAGCAGGAGGGGGCCATTCGGTCCTTCGAGCCTGCTCCACCATTCTTCATGATCATGGCTGATCATTCAACTCAATAGCTTAATCCCGCTTTCTCCCCATAACCTTTGATCCCAAGCACTATATCTGGTCACCTCTTGAATACATTCAATGTTTTGGCATCAACTGCTTCCTGGGGTAATGAACTCCACAGGCTCAACACTCTTTGGGTGAAGAAATATCTCCTCATTCTCATCTCCATCCTAAATGGTCTACCCCGAATTCTCATATTGTGACCCCTGGTTCTGGACAGACCCACCATCGGGAACATCCTCCCGGCATCTACCCTGTCTGGGGCCTGGTAGAAGTTTATAAGTCTCTATGAGATTCCCCCCTCATTCATCTGAAATCTAGCGAAAACAATCCCAACCTAGTCAATCTCTCCTCATACGTCAGACCCGCCATCCCCAGAATCAGCCTAGTAAACCTTCACTGCACTCCCTCAAGAGCAAGAGCATCCTTCCTCAGAAAAGGAGACCAAAACTGCAAATAATATTCGAGGTGTGGCCTCACCAAGGTCCTACATAACTGCAACAACACATTCCTGCTCCTGTATGCGAAATCTCTTGCAATGAAGGCCAATATACCATTTGCCTTCTTTATCGCCTGCTGCACCTGCATGCTTACCGTCAGTGACTGGTGCACAAGGACACCCAGGTCCCACTGCACACTCCCCTCTCCCAATTTACAGCTATTCAGGTAATAACTTGCCTTCTTGTTTTTGCTTCCAAAGTGAATAACCTCACATTTATACAAATTATACTGTATCTGCCATTGATTTACCCACCCACCCAACCTGTCCAGACCTTGCTGAAGGATCCCTGTATCATCGTCACAGTTCACCCTCCCACCCAACTTGGCATCATCTGCAAACTTGGAGATGTTACATTTTGTTCCCTCATCCAAAT